CTTATCCGGTCAGCGATGTAAGATCTTCTAGCAGCCTTTACTTTAGCCAGGTAACGGTTAGTTGCGATTCTGACAGCAATTTTATTGTAATCCGTCGGTTTCCTTCTCTACACGCACTCTAGCCATCTCCTTATTCGCTTCATTGCTCGTAGATCCTGACTATACCAGGGTCCTGGCCGAGCTCTGCTCCTGAGAGGGCGTTTGGGTGCGATCGTGTCAACAGCCCTAGTAGCAGTGGAGAACCAACCGTCCACCAGAGCTTCGACAGGAGCGCCAGACAGTGCCGCTGGAATCCCTCTCATGGTATCCTGAAAACCAATTGGATCCAGTAACCTTCGAGGGCGGACCATCAAAATAGATCCATACTTTAGCATTCCAGTCCCCTATAATGACAAGAACAGCCTTCCTTGGTGTCAGTTCTACAAGGTGTTGTAAGTCTTCATAGAGTTGGTCAATTTCAGCCTCTTTAGCATTGGTGGTTTGTGCATAAACCTGGATTACTGTGATATTGAAAGGTCTGCCTTGGATTAGTATTGAAATTATTCTATCATTTTTGCGATTGTGTCCCAGTACAGTACAGCATTTCCCACTCTTTTGCTGACTATGAGGGGAATGCCATTTCTTCTACGGGATTCTTGCCCACAATAGTAGATATGATAATTGTCTGAAATGAATTCGCACATTCCCGTCCATTTTAGTTCACTGACACTCAGGATGTCGATGTTTATTCTTGCCATCTCCTGTTTGACCACATCCAATTCACCTACATTCCAGATTCCTATGCAGTATTTTTCTTTGCAGCATCGGACTTTCCTTTCACTTCCAGGCACGTCCACAGCTGAGCGTCCTTTCGGCTTTGGCCCAACCACTTCATTAGCTCTGGAGCTACTTGTACTGTAAGCATTTGTTAATAAGATGTGAAAGTATTAAGCAGTTATCTACTGTGGCCTTACCTTTCCTGAAACCAGCTTGCTCAGGGTGTAATGTTTTCTGGGAGGTGGGGTCCCCACTGATCACCAGGGTTGATTTGGCTGATCTGACTGGCTAGGCGGGTGTCCCCTTCCTCCCTCACCGCTCCATGTCTGTCCCTCCCAAAGCTGTGTGCTCGGTGGAAGAGGACAACCATCCCAGATAGAAGGAGTGGACCATTCTTCGGTCAAGGGTTTACGATAGCTGCGCTCCCCTGCTAGAACCTCCAAACAAGCTCAAGGGAGGGACAACATTACCCTTCCTACAGTTGTCTGGCACCCCACCCATGTCCCATGATTTCAAGAAAATAATGGACTCTCAGTGTTCTGAGAGTTATTTAGTCCGTTTCTTCAATACTCTTGGATGCAGTTCATCCAGCCCTGGAGGTTTGAATTCATTCAAGGTAATAAGGTATTCCTTAATTATTTGTTTATCAGTCTCCAGCTGCAAACATGTCCCCTCCCCTTGCACTTCACATTTGTCTGGTGAGTCATAGTCTCTTCTTTGGGAAGAGACTGAGCTAAAATAGTTGAGCACTTCTGCCTTTCCTTGTCTTCTTTTATCATTTTTCCATCTCCATTGAGTAGCTGAGCCACTGATTCATTTCTTTGTCTTGTGTGTAGTCAGTTTCATTGCATCCAAGCTATGGGAGCCCTGACATGGAAACAGGAAAACTTTAATGACTTTAATGAAAGTTTCTCTGGGAGATTTTCAGTGTTAAAAGATTTCTCCCTTCCATTCTGGGACTCCTATAACTTGTACACAATAAAACTAATTATACATGAATCAGACAAACCACAGAACAGAGGTAGGAAGACTTTAATTGCCAAAAAAATCTCCTGCTGATGGTGTGTGTCTTGACACACAGGATTTTGTGCAACAGGATTTTGTGCAACAGGATTTTGGCCAATAAAACATAAACCTGAAACACCTTCTGGGTGAATCCAGTTGGCCTCTTGTCTTACCACACCAGAGAAGGGGAATTTTCCCTCTGACCGCTCTCCTTCTCATTCCAATCTTTCTAGGCAGAACAACTGTCAGCAGAGACAGTTACTGAAGTTCATGAATTGCTACTTATAATTTTAAAAATAAAAACACAATTGTACTGATTCTACTGTTCACAGGACTGCAACTGCACTCCTGTCATTCACAGCTAAAAAAAAAAACATGAAATAAGTCCCTGAATTAATTGGTCCTGCAGCACTGAGGGCCAAAAATATAAAATTACTAAGTAAATATAGTGGTTACCTTAATTTATATGAAAGTAAACTGGAAGAACTCTCAGAATGCTCATCCTCAAAAAATTCTTCTCTCCCTTCATATGTGAACTGGTTATATGGCAAATAGAGAGGCGTAGACTTGGCAGATGGTGACTGTGAGGCCTCTGTCTGTGACGTTGAAGGGCCTGGTTGCTGACTGTCATGCATTTTCACATCGTTGTGCTCTGATACTTTAGAAAGTATTCTATCAATGGTTTTAAAATAAGGCCAATCAGGTGCAAGGGTTTCACTATCAGTCATGCACTTTAATTTCCTGTGATGCAAAAAACAAATCACAGAAGAAAATTTAGACATCCAACCATTTCGTGTGATATCAAAAAACTACCATGAAGAATATTTCAGTGTATAAAATATATATGAAAATAACAAAAAGAAAGAAAGAAAATATTTTAACTGCATTATTTCAACATTTATTGTTTGCTTTGGATTAAAGACAGTCTAAAACAGTTTTACTTATGAAAAATATCATCTTGATAACAAAGCAGGTGTAAATTTACAGATTTGCTGTTAGCCATATTATACTATGCATAATCAGATTATAATAACTGGCTGGATTGCTCAGTGTCTTAGGTATCTGGTTGCAGAGCCAGAGGTTGGGAGTTCAATTCCCCCACTGTGCCTCCTATGAGTAGAGTTAGCCTTGTGTGGCCTTGGGCGAGCTGCCCAGTCCTGGGGCATCCCCAGAAGAAGAAACGGAGAAACCACTTCTGAGTATTCACTACCTCAAGAAGCCTGAAAAGGGTCACCATCTGTCAGAATTGACTTGACAGCACATGATGATGATGATGATTAATCAGACTGTGCACTTCTTTTGGGTAACATATAATGAAGAAACTGGAATAGGTTCGTGGAGATCAAGAACACGAAACTTTGGTCAGTCCAGAGTCATTGTTTATTTGCTTATTTGTTTGTTTGCTTGCTTGTTTGTTTTATTAGACTTCTATCCTGCCCATCTAATGGCAAGCCACTACTCTGGGTGGCTTACAAACAAAAGTCAAGATGGTCAAAAAGTTCAGGAATAAATTATCACCCTCCCTAAACCCAACTATATTTAGCCATAGAAACTAACACAAAAGATGATGGCAAAAATGTATAAAAATAATAAACATATTATCATCAATAATAAAGTAATTAAAATTAGGTAGAGGCAAGATTTTCAAAGGCCTTGTGATGAACTTGCTTATGAAAGTTAAATAGATTTACTTTATAGTGACAAAGTTAGTCTAGGAATTCATTTGATATCTATGTGTAAGTTAGCAAGATGTCCAAGGTCAGTTTGCAAAAGCTCTGTGCAGACTAAGGTGACCTTGATCTCGTCGCTAAGCAACTATCTTAGCCCAGACGGAGCAAGGACATAATTTTTTATTTAAGAGTTATGGGACGAGAGAAGAAAGAAGAGCCGAATGGGAGAGAGAAGAGAATTCCAGCACGGACGGATGAACGTCTGAAGAAAGACTCAGAAACTTTACTTTTGGAATGGACAGTAAGATTAAACTTTACCTAATAGAATCTCTAGTTTTATTGAAAATGTAGTTAGTTGTTTGTTATTTTAGTTTTTGTAGAGGAATTATATCTTTTGGTGATGGCTGGGGTTTGGAAATGATTGGTTATGTAAAGATGTCTTGTTTTGCTTATTTAAAATAATTTCTTTCTAAATTCTATTTTTCTAATAAAATAAGAAAATGCTAAATGTCTGGAAGTTGCCTTCTTAGATAGACCATAAGCTACTATAGTTAACTGGCTACTTTAAATTGATGTGTTTAATCATGCTACCAATTTGGGGTCCTACATATTAAAGAGTACTAGGATGATTAGATCTCCTAGAACTCCTGTAAGTGTTTTGTTCTTTGTTAAATCGGGTCAGACTTGGGAGAACGAATGATTCAGCTGCCCTAGGGTAAAATTAATGGACCTGGTTTTGCCTGATAAGGAGCTGATCATTCCGGACCCTCTCTGTTCCATGGAAAAGCAGTTTCTTTGGAAGCTTGTGTTTTCTGACAGGCCTGAGTAAAAAGCCATCTTTTTACTTGCTTTCTAAAATTCAAGTTGCACATCCACCAGGAGAGAGTTCCACAGTGAGGCAGCCACCATGGTAGTTGTAGATTTCTGGGTGGGCCATCCATAGTGTCAGGGATTGGAAGGTGCAGGTGGGATGGGAGGTCCATCTGAGGGATAAGCACTATGTCAAGTAACAAGATCCCAGGGCTTTGAATGTCAGCATTAACATCTTGAATTTGGCCCAGAAGCATACTGGCAGCCAATGCAAATGGGCCAGGACAGGAAGGATATGATTGTAGTTTGATGTTTGATGTTTCTGAAACCAGCATGGCTGCTGCATTTTGCACTGGATGCCACTTCTGAGCCACCCTGACAAAATTGCTATCGTCCATTTTAGACATAGGTTGGGGAACTGGGGTAGATTGCCAAATGGGGTAAAAGTGAAAATCCTGGGGGTAATGAGCAGGCTGCTACCCCCTCCCTCCCACCCACCCCACCCTCTGGAGCCAAAGCTTTAATTGTAAACCACCTCGCTCTGTTACTTTCTTCATTGCAGCAGGGCACTTCTAAATGCAGTGGACCCTTGACTTACAGACGGCTTGACTTACAGACTTTTTGAGTTACAGACTTCTCTGGCCGCAAAATTTAGGTTTGACTTGCAGCCTGAGAATTGACTTACAGACCAGAAAAAAACCAAAATGGAACAAAAACGGCCTGTTACGGGATTAATCAGTTTTCAATGCACTGTAGGACAATGGAGACTTGACCTACAGACTTTTTGACTTGAGAACTGCCTTCCAATACGGATTAAGTTCTCAAGTCAAGACCCCACT